ATTACTTGAGAATTTATATTAATAGATTTAATGAAGAGCTATCAAAGAGACTTGAAAGTGTCCTCATAGTCATGATGAGCTGTATGTTGGCAGGGTTTTATGGAAAGAACAAAATGAGAGACAGAGTAAGAACTGCTGGTATTCTGTACACTGCCCACACTGCTGTACAGCCGCCAGGCTCGATGGACGTTGCAGGTGACATGGCACCCTGGGGGAGAGTTCGTGGGTTTTCATACTGGAAGTCCTGTGTGTGTTTGCAGTAAATTATTTCTGGCTCTTCCTCCAAGTACAGAGACAGTGCTGGTGGGATTTCTGAGGCCTTATGCAGTGTGATGAGACATCCCACTGAAGAGAGGAAAAAAGCTTGTCTAAATTGAAAAACTAGAGGTATTTACCAACAGAGAAAAAAGACTCAGGCAGTGCACATTATCTACTGCAGGTATTTGCAAGTGCCACATGGGTTGAGGGAGATGAATAACCATGGATGCTATAAAAGATGAAAAACCTTTTTCCCTTGCAAGAGTCACCATACAACCTTAAAAATACCTAGATGCTACTTTACCAGCGAACTAACTTTTTTAACTGTATCACTCAATCCCAGCTAAGCCTGACCCAAAGAATGTCCTCCTCAAATCCCAAATCTGCTTTCCACTCCTCCAAATCTGGTATAGCTCAGACCTTCTCCACGTTCAGATCTTAGCCAAGACCAGCTCACCGTCACATCACCTGCAGACCAGGAAATTCCACCTATGCTGAAATTTCTAAAGATGTTAGCATTTTGTGTAACTCAGTACTAAATATTAGGCAACAGATTGCTATGATGCATTATTGTGGAAAAAGATCCTTAGCTTATCTTCTTTCATACCTTCTGGAGAGCTCAAAACTAATAGGGTCAAAGCAGGAAACTTGGCTGAGATGAACTTTTACGTATTTCACATAATTCTTTTTTCTAACTCCAGTTTTTCAATTTTTCCATCCATTTTCATCAACTGATTTCAGAAATATCACATTACAAGATACTATACCAGGATCCTGCACAAAATCCCACCACAGAGAGCAAACAGTCACTAAGACTAAATACTGAAGACTGGGCTGTGTATGTGCCCAAGGGACTTGATGAATGCTTGGTTACTGGTAGAAGCCAGCTGGGAGAAACTGCTGGTCCATTTTTAAGTGCTCAGTGCTACTCAGGACATACTCGGTCTAGCAAGAAACCCTAGGGATGGGCCCCCAAATGAAGTCCCATCCAGATGTTCATAATACACTATGTTGCCCAGGGTTTCATGGAAGACATTAGCTAGTGAGGAGCATGGGGAGAAAAAGGGAGGGAGAGAAGAGGAAATGTCTGCTGAGCACACACACAGAAATAAAAAGAAAAGCACTGGTTGAGTTCCAGAAATGAAAATCTGGCCCCACTGAAGTAGGTGGGAGCTTTGCCACCAGATTTCAATGGAGTTGGAATTTCACCCGATATGAACAGTACTCTGGAAATATCCTCCCTCCAGACACACTGTGGGAGCTCTTCTGGCTCTGAATACTCACTGGAAACACAGAAAAGGAAATTAAACCCAAAGCAAGACAACAATGCCAGAATGATTAATCAACAAACAAAAAGGATGCAACAACAATTAAGAAAAGTATTGCAGAAGTGGGTGGAAAGAAGCAGCAAAGTCCTTTACCTCCTGGACCACTGAACTTTGCCAGGAGCACAGCGGGATGCAAGAACTCTTGGTGCTGGGTACAGGGTGCCACGTCAAGACTGCACTGGAGGTAGTCTGCACAGATTCTGTACAAGATTCTGCACAAGAGGAAGAAAAACTTCCAGTGCAGAGTCAGCCTTGGAGTCTGCTCCCATCACTAATGCTATATAAAGAGGCCAGAACCTAGGAACTTCAGCAAAGATTCCTAGAAGCAGTCAGCATCATTGCCTACAAATTCCCAGGCAGGCTGGTTCACAGAAAGGGCACGCTCAGCAAGCTCTGCAGTTGTGTAACTATGAGGATTCTAGAAATGAGAAATGCAACACAATAAACAGTACCACAATGCCTACAAAGTCCCATCTACATGACACCTATGAACAGGTTATTTAACCTAGAGTTGCTATCTGATGTTCCCCTTTCATGGTCCTGGATGTTCCTCTTTCACTGGCTTAAGAGTTCAGGCTGCCTAAGATGCTAAGTTCTATCTTTCAGAGCATGTGAATCCCTCAAATCCACATAAGGCAGCTAGAAGGACAAATTCCCATCACTGCTGGAACTCAGTCCCTAATTTCCAACTAAAGACCTCTTATTTGCTGCAACTCTCCTGCAAGGAAGGACTGAAGGGCTCTGTTTCTGGGAAATACTGCAAATTGCACCACTTTGGATGTGGTGATGACAGCATGTAAACCTGCATACCTACCACTGACTAATATTCAAGTATTGTGTTCCACTTTGAGATGAGAAATCCAGATGAAGACTCATGTCTACATATCAATGCTGGGTGAGTGACAACAGCTAACCATGCATTAAAACTAGAGTCCTCTGAGTGACGGTGTGCAACAGGCACAGCATAGGCAGACACAGACCAGGTTTTGGAACCTCCCAAAGTCCTTTGAGCTTTCCTCAGGACTCCTCTTTCCTCACAAAACAACTGGAAAGGTCTGTTTTTAGCAGTGGGTCCCCAGTCACCCCTGTGATAGCATGAGGTTCACAACCTTCACAGAGCTCAACCATCTGCCAGTTTCTCCTCCTTGCTCTCTTCTCCCTCTTCCTCAAATAACAAGGGAAACCCCCTTTTCACAGTCCTTCCCCAGACCAAATGCCTTTTCAAGCGATGGAGCTCTCCTGAAGTTCTATGGTTTGCTGCCTCATTACTCATGTGCCTAGACAGGCCACTGGTCTTGGTGTGAGCTTCTTGTCCATGGGCTCTGCTGTCAGCCTTCATGATTGCCCAGTCTTAGCGTCTATTGCCCAATGTTATTAGAGGTAAGGGGAAAAACAAGGTATTGCAGGCCTTGCAGTACTTTGCTGGCTCAGAGCACGTTTTCAACCCAGTTACTTAGCTGGCAACTTGGAAAATGAAGAACAAATACGTTTGGAGTTCCACAGACTCTGGAAACAAAACTGCAGGGGAAGGGAGAATCTGGAGAGACACCGAGCTCTTGTGTGCCCTGGCTGCCTCCACACCGTTGTTACCCCTGATGACAAACCAGAGGAACTGCTTCTCGGTGTGCCAAGATTCCAGGATGAAAAGCATGGACTGCCCCTACTGCTGGGCTTCACACCAGGCTGCTGGCTCTTCTCAGCATGTGCATGCAGCTGTGGGTGTAAAGGGCACACCATGACCCTCCTTCCCAACTTCAACAGCAGACCTTGTAAAGAAAAGCAGGACAAGGATAATTATCTGCCAGAGGAGCTGCTCACTTCAGGAGTGGTAAGAGCGTACAGCTGAGACCAGCATCTAGCCTCTTCTTTAGTTGCACTGTGAAACCATGAAGTAAAAATCTTTCCTTCATGGTTTACATCAGCCTCAAGTGAATTTAAAAACAGTAGAAGGAACAAAATAACATCTCATTTTAAACAGCTCTTGCTAGCTCTCAAGGAGGCTTGAGAAAGTTGCATGCCACCAGTTGACAGGCTCGCCATAGATGAGATCTACAACCATGCTGCTCACCCCTTACTGAATCCAAGACTTATACTATAAAAGAACCAAACCTGAAACCAGCACCTAATTCACAAAGGCAGAACCTAAAAATCCACTTCTGCATCACTTGTAGCTAAGGTTGCAAGTCTAGTGTTTCCACAAGTTTTCACTGCCATGAGACTGGCTGCAGTATGAGCAAAAATGTGGTTATCAAGTCTCTCCATGGAGTAAGGAGACTAATGTAAAAGCATTGCAGCCTAGTTCTCTCATTTCTCTCTCCTACCTTTTACACATCATATTATTACTTGTCTTCTTTTTCATTCTCAGGACCATAGTACTACCTAGAAATGGTTGAAAATATGTAATTTTTTCCAGGACCTATGCTGACTCTATACACAAGCCTGTATTTTACCACATTTGTCTAACTCCCTTCAAGTATATCTGACGATTTTCTGCAATAGCCTTGTCAATACTAATACACCGACTCGTATCAAACAGATATGTATTTTCTACTGATCTGCTATTTTACCTAAAAATAAGAATTTTAGACTAGCACAGTCCTCACCCAGAACAGCTGACAACATTCTTTTTAAACTGTCAGAGTAGATTTTTTTCAAGAAAGAATATAATTTTTAGGAACAGAGAGTCATGCAGACATTTTGAGAGTTACTGGATCAAATGGTGCCCCTTAAACAAGTGAAAACTAAACACATTGAAAACATCCCAAATTCTCCTTTTTTTTGCACAAATTCACAGCATTATTTCACTACCCTCAGGTTTTCAAGTACAGGAACTCTGACCATCAATCCTTTCGAAATGAGAAGTTCAAGTATAAGCAAATAACCAGACAAGCATCAGTTGATGGAAGAAGATAAAGGAACAGCAAAAACAGAATTAACCATTCTTCTTTTCTTGACCAAAGGCAGTAAAAGTGATCGCTGTGTTCACTATTTATTTTATGATATGAAGGTAAGAATTAACTTCCACATAGTAACATGTAGCCCGGTGAGGAACGGCAAGCCAAATCTGCTTCACAAAGAAGCCAGGTGATACATGGCAGGCTATCATGGCTAATGGGATCACTTACTATAGACAATATCTGAAGATGACCATAGGTTTGTATTGCATTGTTTTGACTGAAATAGCTTGTTCTGTCCATGCAGGGGACTCCAATTAGAGTTTGCTATTGAACACGCTGAGTTGCACACAGGCTGCAAGTGTTTGCAGTAGAGCAGAACAACATGATATTTAAATTTACTTACCCTGTAGATTTCCGCTGGGCTTAAAGTAATGCCATTGCTCCAGTGAAAAAGACCTCAAAGGCCACTTTCTAAACATTTATTTCAGTGCAAATTCTGCCAGAAAGAGGAACTTACTGCTTGTTGTGAAATTACCCTCCCCAGCCTGGGGAAAGGAGTCTACATCTTGGATGACCTGTAGTACACCCACTGTCCGCACTGGGGGATCCAGGGCTACAGAGCTCTCGTTCACTGTTATATCGCTGGCTCCCGTTATCTGGTTGGTTGGTGGTCCTCCTATGGATGCTTCCAGGTCTGGAGGTATATCATCCATGCAATCTGCATTTGGCTAATGGGAAAAAAAACCACGAAAATTGAGTTTTACCTGATAACAAAGATTTAATTTATCTGTTGCTACTTCTTCAGGGTTTTTCACCTTCAGTATTGGAAATGGCAACATATGATGAACAAACATGCACAGTTTGTTTGTTTTCATGTACTTAAAGCTTAATACAATCTGTTGGAAGAGAGATCCAAAGTATGCACTGGAAATATTCCACATTAAACTGTGTCATCTATAATCTCTAAATATTGTTATTTATACTTTTTAAAGGGTCTGAAAGAGTACACATTAAAAAACTAACTCACTTATTGACATGATCTGCTCAACATAGGCAGATTGCTGAGTCAGATTTCAAATGTAAACAGAGAGAGCAGCTGAAGGGGAATGATTATCTTTTCCATAAATACACATTTTATAGAGCTGGTATCAGAGCTTTCAGGAATAAGAATTCAAGGGAAATGCCTGTGGGCACATCTATGGGAGGGGTGCAAAAATAGAAGCTAAAGCTGTTTATAAGACAAGATTTTTAACATCAAAAGATCTTTTCCTTTGCTAATGCTGTATTTCCTATAAAATAAAATTATGAGAAAAGAAACAAACAAGCAATAATGGGAATTTGAAGAGTATCATTTGATCCATAGCTTTTCTTGCTTTGTGATTCAGAGAGAGCAAAGATGGAATCCAGTTCTGGGGAATTTAGACACTTCTCTCTTGAAGTTTCATAGTGAATGCACCAACACCTTCAGAATAAGCCAAGCTCTTCAAGTCAAGGGAAGCAACGAGAGGGGGTTGTGGGGCCCACCTCTTGTACAGTATCCTTAGCACCGAGCACTCATAAAAAGCACTTAGACTTCAAGTGGGCACAGGGCAGCAAAGAAGATTGTTCCAAGGTACTATGTCCAAGACTAGTTTCTATGTTTGATTTCCCTAGACCTGTCTGTTATAAGCCTGATGCTTCTGTTTATACATCAGTGATTTCTGTGGAGCTCCCCATAAACACTGGTGACAAACATATGACTAAAAAAGGTCTTTTTCCTCTAAGAGGAAGCAGATTCTTGTGCCAGTTGCCCATAGAACCAGGTCTAGTTCTCCTCAAGGCATAGAGAAAAGTTGTTTGCATAACTATTTCAAGAACTAGGTTTTGGAGTTTTAAAAACCAAGGCTGATGCAGAAATGAGGATGCTGTGTGTTAGGGTGCAAAGCTTCCAAAATGACAGAGGGACATAGCAAGGTTGAGCTGCAATTACACAGATAGCTTGCTAAGCTAGAAAATGTAAAGTTAAATTGTTCCCCATTTATCTTTATCCTCCAGGAGTCAGACAGCTAATCTGGACTGGTCACTTAGGTTTCCTCTAAATTCAATGGTTTGAGACAATTTCACTGTGTCATTATCCCACCCTAAGATAAGTGATATGAATTGCCCCCTCTGCCTTCTTACTGCTCAGTACTAAGCAGAGATGGGGCTTAAGCTGCTAGACTGGAAATCCAACATCTGGATAGCTCAAGTCAGAGGAGATATACTCTGCTCTGTGGATCTGACTTACTCTATTCCTAGTTGTTTCACTTGCTAAGGCATTTATGAAAATCTCACTACCTGCCTATGTCCAACAGCAGGCACCTAGAAATGAAGCAAAATATGATACAGCAAAGACTGACACTTTGCTTTAAGCACAAAAGTAGTCCCTTTGAACTCAGGCATAGAACGTTACCATATGCTTACATATTTTGCAGAACCAGAAACTTAGCATGTTTTGCCTTTTCCCACATATTTCCTCTCTGATTGCGGACATCTCCTAAATATTTTTTCACAAATGTTCATAATGAAAAAGACAGGCATTTTAAACAACCTGGTATCCACAAACTGAGGTTTAGAATAAAAATTAAAATTGTCATTTTCTGGCTCCAGTCTAATCCATAAGCAGCGAGAGCTCCTCAGAACTGGGATAAAGGAACATTCAGCTTTTCACCAGGTTTTAATGAAACTCATTGAACCTGTACTTTTGTAAGTGAAATAACAATCATCTGTAGGACTTAGACCCAAAATTATTCCTTAGATCTATCACTCTTTATTATAACAAATGCTTTCAGATTTTCATTTTTAACTTTGGCTTTCATGGCAGTGTACCTTGGAGGAAAAAAAGGACTGTTTTTTCTTCCCTACTATAGGAAAAACTATTTCAAAGTTTTTTTTTCAGGGCATCAGTTTCCTGTCCTTTGCTCTGATTCTGGTTATTCCTAGAATTGGGTTTTATCACTAACTTTTAAACCTGTAAAAACAGGGAATTACAACTGAAAGCAAAACAAACATTAAAGATGCAAAAATAGCATTGCCTGATATAATTAATCCCCTTACTCCTGAATCATTTTAGTTGGAAAAAAATACCCCAAACTAAGCAGCATACTATAACACTAATGATATGAAATACTGATCGAAAAAAATACATTATGACTTTTGCTGTCAGAGTGACCCAGATACACTTGCTAAGTTTAATTATATTGGTTTCTCTCATTCCCTGCATGTAAGTGCTTTGAGGGCACAATTCCACTAAAGTCAAGGGAAGGCTTTGTATTGACTTCTGAGGGTTTGGCTAAGGATCTTAGTGAATAGCTTTGAGTCATCCAGTCAGCTGCCAAAAATGCAGCTGTCTGCATATCCAGCAGATATTTGCAGAAAAGGGGGAGAAGCAGGGGAAACTATTTTATGTGATATGATCACCCCAATAGCAGTGTAGGTTTCTGAAAGTGAAAGATACTTTCACCTATAATTCACCTCAAATATTACGGCCAAATGAGTTACAGTCTGAGCTGGACTCACCAGCAAAGAGTCAGTGGAAAAGGTTACGCCAGCCATTTACAGATGGATAGTTAGTTAATAACCCTCTGGAGCTACAGAGTGCCATGGTGAAAAGCAGAGATGTTAGGGTGCCAGCTACCATGAAAATGAGTGCCGTCATTTTGGTGCCTCACAGCAGCCTGGGGAATCTTGTTCTAGGGAAGATAATGTTTGAAGTCTCTGCTACAAAATAAATGGAGAGTTTAGATGTGAAGTAAATTGAAACATTTAGATATTTGGGGTTTAACCAATCATTTCCTGGAAAATCCTGAGTATGGATGCTAAATGAAGCACAATATATCCACAGTCACGCAAGCCAGCTCTTTAATAACAACCACAGGACAAACATGCAGCTGGCAGGAAAAAAGCCCAGCACATTAGCCCTACCTATGGCAAGATTTCCTCATTTCTCCCATTGTAAAAGCCTGCAAAAGGACTTTGGCAAATTTGCTCTCAAGTTTCCCATCAGAGACTGCTGCCTGCCTAAGGCTGCTTTTCTGTGTGTGAAATTTCAGCTAAGATGGCTCAGCAAGCCTCAAGAATGCGGTTAGGGAATGGTATTTTGCTTTATCCACTCTACAGAAATGTTTGCCACCTCTCACTGAGAAGCCCTAGAGCTTTACAGCTTCTTCCAGGGAAATGTCTTTTCCCACAACATCCTACTGACATCTGGCTAAGTCATGAGCCTCTGAAAGCCTCTGATAGAGACTGGTGCGTTATTCAGGACCGACAACTACACTCTCCAAAGAGAACTGGGCTTCGCATGGTGCCTGTAAGCTTATGGTAGCACAAGAAAGCACCCTACAGGACTGATGCCCGCAATGGGGTGCCCTCAGCTGGTGCCAGGCAGTGGGAGGGGTGAGGATGCACAATTTCTGTGCGGGTGGAGAACAGGTCCTGAGAGGTGAACAGGGAGCACGAGCAGCAACACCAGGACATGAACTCCAAAGGATAAAGGTTGAGCAGGAGAGATTATGCAAAGAAGCAGGAAAGGGAGCTGTGTAAGAGAAGGAGGAGCAGGAGTTGAGGCATAGTTTAGAAAGAGAAGGCAGAGAAAGCAGAGGAAGAGAAGCAACTGATAGCAGTATAGGAATTTTTAACCCCCAATCTACCAGATGCTCTCAGACTCCCACCTCCTTTGCTGTCAGCCAGAAGAAACCTCTGACATGAAGGCTATCATCTGCTCCCGGATCCCACGGACAACATCTCCTACTGTAAGTCACCTTGAGGGGTAAGGCTCTAGCATACAGCTCTCTCCTTATGAACCTAATTGATGATCCATGCGGGTGGGAGCTAGTATGCTTCCTCCAAATGATGGAGTGGGCTGTTTTCAGTTTGTTTTCTTAGAACAACCTAGGGAACTTTTAACAGAAATTCATACAATAAAATCCACTAAACAGACATTGCCAGTGGAACATTAACATTCTAGCACTTGACTTTGAGACCAGCACTGAGACCGATTCTGAAATCTTAATGTGACCCAGTTGTTTATGTTGGTTTCAGCAGTGAGGTTTTTTTAATTCTTTAATTATATGCCCAGTACAATTATTTCTCCAAAAGCTCCATGTGGAAAGCTCTTAGTGAAGGGAGCAGGATGGACCCCCTTCTGCTAAGCAGTACAGAGAGAAACAGTTGGAGCTGTGAGAAGAGTAACAATGGCTGAGGAAACTGAATGTCACTTTTAATTATTCCTGGCAATTAGGTTATATACCTGCCATCACAGAGCTGTTCATATGTAGTAAGAGCCAGTCACATAAATCAAAATCCTTACACATTGCCTCTGGGCCTTTTCTCTTGATGTACCCAGCCTCATACAGCCTGCGGACATGCTTAGCCTTCAGGAGCTGCCAGTGAAATCAGTGAGAGACATATTCTGGTCTCTTTACATTAGTATGTAAATACTAATGGTACTAAACTTTCTGGGAAGACCTTAGCATCTCACTGCAGGCCTCTAGAAAGTAGAGGTCTGCTTTGTTTATATCCCCTGTTTATGAAGCTGGATGAAAAGCATGTTAATGACATGCTCGGGCAAAAATGTGAATGGACCAGTGTGAGAGCAGAGATCGTAAGGTCCTGCATGGTGCAGAAGAAAGCCATGGAACAATATACTGGGTACAGAAAAGAGCTGTCAAAATCCTGCGTAACTGCTCACTGGCAGGCCTGTGAACTGAGACATGGAACCTGGGGAGAAATTTCTGTATTAACTTGGGTGCAGAGATGCTGAATGTCAGAGGCAGCCTTCATTGTTTTTTCCTGACATCTCAAATACTGATTTAACAGTTGTATCATCTTTTAACATTCTAAAGACAAATACACATGGCTTAGCAGAAAAAAAGCAGTCCAACTGTAGTAACATGTTACCCTAACTACAATACTTCAATTTTCCCATTTAAAGCTTTTGTCTTGGACTGTATTAGATTGATTAACATATCTGTCTACTTCAGTTAAAACATACTTCATCACTTGCTGTGGAACTCTTCTGCAGCAACTTGCTTGGCTTCCCAGTTTCCATGAAAATGAACTCTTGGAGAATGGCTGTATCAGCTCCCCTGGTATGTTCATATGAGCTATGTTACTTTATATAGCTCTTTCATATGTCAGCAAGCATGTCACCATCTGTAACTGGGGAGGGTATTTACAGCACCTATTAATGCATCAGCCTATGGTGTTGGAGTATTGAACTTCACTCTCACATGGCAAGCCTCGCACAGTGTGAGAAAGTGACTCACTTTTTCCTGGTGAAGTCCGTGATCTCTGTGATAGCTGCGGTTAGGAAACTGTACGGCAGACAGGAAACACACTATCTAACTGTAAACATGTAACTAAAAAGATCAATTGCTTTGGCAGCTTCTAACCCATCTGAATGTTCCAAATAACAAAGAGCTTAATAATTTCTTGTATGTCATGTGGTCTGCCACATGCTTAGTTACTGGCAGAAATGCTTCCTAATTGGAATTAGGAGCACAGAGATTGCTAGAGATAGACTTGAAGAGAAATTTGAGACAAAGAAAAGATTTTTGCTCCCCAGAATAAGCAATTAGTTGTCATCAACTAGTACAGCAGGAAAAATACTATTTGCAGACCTTCTGCTTTGAGATTTGAACTAAGAGCATGATCAACAAACCCACAAAAAATCCAGTCCTGATTTAAAACACAAACAAAAGCTATGTGAAAGAATCTATAAATCCACCAAACACCAGTAAACAACCCTCTGCTCCACAAAGCAGGCAACCACAGACACACAAATCCTAACACCCAACCAACCCCCATATATACGCTCTTCCTTGCTAATCAAAGTCGTGTGAAGAAGACAGGTAGAGCCAGACATTTCAGCTTGTACTCCCCTTAATAAATCAATAACATGGCAAAAAGAGAAAGATGGGAACAGACAGGCAACGGGCTAAGGATATACCCAAGTAGCTGGTATTTCCCTCCTGCCCCGACCAGCTGCTCTGTGATGTGCTTACCGGGATCCCTAGAGCTTTTAGAATATTCATTTTACACATTGGGCAGGTTCGATGGTCTAGCAGCCAGGGGTCTACGCAGGACTTGTGGAAAAGATGCCTGCAATGAAAACCAGGATATTTTAATTTGAATCCACCACAGCACAATTTACCACTTACTACCAGACACTTCTGAATTCGGTGAAGTGAGAGTATTTCAAATGGTGTGCTTTGTGACCTCTGCAAGGACTGCAAAACTACATCCTATGCACACAAGACTAAAAATATTTCTGTAGCATCTCAAGCACATGTGGACATTGAGTTTGGAAAAAACAGGTATGTACACAATTAGAGAATTAGAAAAAAACACACAAAATGCATCAGCAAAACCCATGTTCTTTAAATGTTAAAGGTCAATAGACAAAACCTGCTTGATGATAAAGGTGAAAATTGTATCAGTATCTCTTGATGGCTCTGCAGACAAACCTGATTACATATAATTTAAATGTGAAGCCATTGGGAGTTGAGCATTTCTTAGAATGCAGGAAAGAAAGTAAATAAAGAAAAAAATACTACTTTTCATTTAAATGGAAAAAAGCAGGATGATACTTTTTAAAACATCCTCCCTGACTTTCCTGCTCTTTAGAAGTTGTCCATCAGAGTGAGCTCCTGAACAATTCCAGCCCTGAAGGAGTTGTTGCTAATCCTGTGCTCAGTCTGAAATGACCACTAAACAACCCTCTAAGTCCTGTGGCTGCTGGGGGCCACTTTTCTTAGACATTATCCAGGTGCGGGAACAGAAAGTTTCTTGTCTAGCTTTGCCTCACACAAACTGAGATTGAGTATAGAGATATTTAGTGTGTGCACCTGACTGACAGATTGTATTTTCTCTTGTGAGTATATTCTGTTACCCTGTAGTTATAGAGTACAAATGTTATAAAATGCAGAAGTGTGGGGTTTGGGATTTAAGAAATGCTGTTGAGTAGGCCAAATAGAGGAGACGGGGCTCAGCCCAAGTCTGTGAAGTTTGTTCAGCAACACTCCTGAAGAAAAAGAGAAATGTTTCCTGCCATGCACATAGCCTCAGAAATGACACTGGCATGTAGGAAACTGAAAACTGATTTGCCTTCCTAAAGATCCTTTTTAATCAGTTAGAATAGTTCAGTTGGAAAGGACCTTAGTTCAACTGTCTAATATAACTTAACAACTTCAGCAAAACTGAAAGAGGGTATCTTATTCTGAAGAATGAGGCTTGATAAACATTCACAGTCTTGCTCTAAAGGTGGAAATTAAAACTAATTTGCTTGTTTTGACACACCATGAAGATCAGCTCTAGAAAGATTTCCTTTCCCAGGCCTGCAAGAGGTGTCACACATTTTACTTGTCAGAGCCTGAAAGTCTTGTTTCAGTCTGCTTGAAGTTTTACATTCTGTTTGTACTTTTAGATCTGCACAGTCCACAGCCTGCTTTTCCCTGTGCTGCCACTGCCCCTTGTGCATCGCCTTGTAGAGCACAGCCACACAAACCCACCGGGTAACCAAAGGCAGACACAGCTCACAGCTGCCCGAGGACAACAGTATGAGGTTCAACAAGGTTCAGTGCCAGATCCTGCCCTTGGGTTGCAACAACCCCATGCAATGCTGTTACAGTCTTAGGGAACAGTGGCTGGAAAGCTGCCTGGTGGAAAAAGACCTTGGAGTGCTGGTCAACAGCTGAATATGAGCCAGCAGTGTGCCCAGATGGCCAAGAATGCCAATACCATCCTGGCTAGTATCAGAACCCGTGTGGTCAGCAGGGCCAGGGAAGTGTACTCAGCACTGGTGAGGCTGCACCTCAAATCCTGTGTTCAGTTCTGGGCCCATCGCTACAAGAGAGATACTGAGGTGCTGGAGTGGGTCCAAAGAAGGGCAACAAAGCTGGTGAAGGGTCTGGAGCACAAGCCTTACAAGGAACAGCTGAGGGAACTGGGGTTGTTTAGTCTGGAGAAAAGGAGGCTTTGCTCTCTCAGGTAACCTTTACCTAAAAGAAGGTTGTAGCGAGGTGTGTGTTGGTTTCTTCTCACGTAAGAAGTGATAGGACAAGAGGAAATGGCCTTAAGTTGCACCAGGGTAGGCTTAGATTGGCTATTAGGAAAAATCTCTTCACTGAAAGGGTTGTCAAGCATTGGAACAGGCTGCCCAGGGAAGTGGAAGAGTCACCATCCCAGGAGGTATTCAAAAGACATGGCACTTAGGGGCATGGTTTAGTGGGACTTGGCAGTGATGGTGGGACTTGATGATCTTAAAGGTCTTTTCCAATCTAAATGATTCTATGATTCTAAGGCTCTGCCTGGAGCACATACCAGCCTCCACAAGGAAATACAATCTCTAAGAAAGCCAGAATCACTTAATGCACCAATTTTAAATATCTACATGGTATGTATTCAGCTGAATGGGTTGGCTGCTGTATTGTGTCCCAGCTTCTCTCACACAAGATACACATGGGCTTTCAAATTGGTCTAAGATATTGAGGTGCACTTTCACCACTATCTATTTGCAACCCTGGCTCTTACTAACACGGTGTCAGCCCACATAGTAGCTGGCTGGCTTATTAGCTGGCTTCAGTCCTAAATAACACTAGAAATTCAAAGCCAAAACTGTGAAAACTCAGAATCTTATTCTTTTCTTCTCACTACTTCTAGATGAAATGGGTGCTTTGTGAAACAAAGCTACGTGGCAAATTATAGCATTCCTGTACTTCATCTGACTTCACACAACTATGGGAAAGGGCAAATCTGTTCTTGGATGCTCAACCTAGTCTAATTATATCAGTTGGCTGCAATACCAAACTTTGTCAAACCTCATCTGATCCTGTATGTCAACATGATGAGCGCAAATGAAGCATCGTGATACTTCAAGTTTAAACCATTTTACTAAGGCTACATAAGTTCACAACCCTCCTTCCAAACAGGATTTGCCTTAATGGATAAAACCACAGTGCATCAAATTTTGTTGTCTGTTCTGTGTAACTCTTCCTTCTTTTTATCTCAGAAGGGACATACTCAGCCCATCATAGGCAAGCAGTCTGAATAGGGGAAAAAAAAAGGTAAGGTCCTCACACATGTGTAATTTTACATTTAGAAGTCTAACCAACAGAATTCCCTGGGTATGTTAATTCATGGAGAATACTGAAAGTCAACATCTTTTTTTTCAGCTATTTGAAATAATGATGAAATTCTTGATAGTGATTGGTTTTCTTTAATGATATACTCAAATCCATAAACAAATATGCCTAATGGCAACCATCTGAAGCATGTTAGTGCCAAAATAATCAGTACATTTATAAAACCTGAGATATTTATTATTCTCTTGAAAAAAAAAACAAAACAAAAAAACCCCAATAAATTTCCAAAATCTGTTTTGGATTAAAAAACCCAAAAACTTCTACCAAGCAATCTTACCATAGACTAGAAAGCCTCCTTTTGTTTTCCAGTTCAAGCTTTGCAAGCCTCAGTCAAGTTGTGGTTCATATTACAGCATTTCATAATGTCTGTTAACCACCAAAAGCTTGGAACTTTCATGCCTTAAAGACTTGAAAAACTGCATTTTAGTGTTCCTGAAGTTGGCTTCAAAAAACAATATTCTAAAATAAATCCTACCACTTAAATACATGACAGATCATGTCACTTTGCACTTCTCAATATTAAATTAGCACAGTGTATTATGGCTCTATTAATTTCAGATTTAATATGTACATGAGACAGAACTTGATTATTTGATAGAAATTTATGGTGAAATGGAATGTTATCAAAATCAGACAAAGATCTGAATTTTTTAATTTTTGTACCACATTATATGATTAGAGCACTCATAATAACTACTTTTGAACACATAAACATTTGTGCAGAGAAGCAAGGTGGCATGCTTTGCAGATTTGGATTTGAAAGCTTATTTTATTCATTATTAGCTATAGCACTATATGCACGCTTAAGGCTTTCAACAAATTGTCAACTGTTTGATGTCCTGATAAGGTTATCATCCAAAATCAGGCAAAATAAGGGTCAGCACAAAGTAAGATGAGAGAGCGACTGCAATATTTCCCTGTCACATGGTAAGACAAAGATGTAAAAAGATCAATAGCAACAAAAATCCCTCTTCCTCTGTAGTTCTGCCTGATGCCAGTTTTAAAAGAAAAGAGAGGGTAGAAGCACCATGGATGATTTCAGAAGTAACGACCCACACAGGGAAACAGTAAGAGAGATATTTCAAGTACGAGCCTGGGACATGGCTTTGACAGTCAGAGTCAGAGCCAGTAACAAATCGTGTGCAACCACAGGCATTGCAAAACTATGTTCATTTGGATGGGTTGACAAGTTTCTCAGAAGAACTGTACTTAATTAGTTGAGAGAGAGGAAGGCGAGAGGAGAGGAGATGTCATAACAATCCTCATATACAACAAAGGCTTTTATAAAGAGAAAGGAAACAACTGTTCTTCACCTCTCCTAGGGATAAGAGACGCAATGATGTGTTTAGAAGTGCAGCAAGTGAGACCCAGGTTACACAAGAGGAAAAGCTTCAACACAGTCAGGGTAGTGAAGCACTACAATAAATTATCAGGGGAATTGCAGAGTCTTCATCCCAGGAGACTGCAGAGTGTGTTGGAAAAAACTACTAAGAAGTACATGGAGAGCGTCCCTGTGTAAACGTTCCAGAGGTGGTGGCCTCCTGGGATCCCTCTGGCACTCGCCTGTGACTGCATGTGCCTGAGTAAAGCTCAGGGAGCACAAAGAAAGGAAAAGAACCTCAAAGTCCCAGAGCATTTCATTTACTATTATCTAAACAGCACTTTGTATTTTTTTAATTGTAGATTACTTTTGTTTGAAATGTACTTAAATTTTCTGCAAAGCTGCAATTTTAATCATATAAAAAAAAATATTTTCAGGCTAATCTCAAAATTATAATAATAATATGATTGTTGTAAAACTATTGTAAAGCTTTCAGATTGCCAACAATTTTGAGGAGCTTTTTTTCCAAGTTAAGGGAAACTTAACTGTTCACTTCCCACCTTCTGTTCCTAGTCCTACCTTTCTAAACTGCATGCAAACAAACGTAGTAGTCATGTCACTTTTCCCAGAAGCATGAGCAAAGAGAAAAGGAGACAAAAGCAGAAAGAGACGTACATCCCTAGGGACCCTGAGTAAGAGCATCAGTTGCCTGGACTAGAGATAGGACTGAAGCAGAGGATTAAGAAGGGTTTTGGTGAGAGACTGAGGGGTCCTGCAGTATTCAGTGAGAAGGTCTGAGCTTTTAGGGGTTCATGTACAGTATTATTTATTTATTTTTGAGGAAGAAGGAAGAACAAAAGATGATAATTATGAGGGTAAATGAAAGGAAGGAATCAAAAGGAAGAATGTGATGAAACAATTTTCACAGGAAGCTAATAAAAAGAGAAAGGAAGACTGAAGCAGTCTCTGAAATCACAGTTGTTCATGGAGTGAAGGTTCAGAGGAAGGGAACGAGCTGGAATGGGGTCAGAAAGTGTGTTTACTGGTGACAGAAATGAAACTACCAAAAAAAGCTTATGAAGAACTTAGTAGAAATTAAGTTGAAAGAATTGTCTTGCCTCTCCGTACAAGTTTAGTAAAAGTTCAGTAAAAGGCACACAATGGGAGCAGCAGCACCAGCAACTTCTCCAAAGCCAGAGCAGAAAGGACAGAGGTGTTTTGAAGCTAGAGATGGAGGACAAGCAGAAGGAACTAGGTCTATGACAAGAGATGTCACCCTGGGAACAATGAACTTGGTTACATTTGATGTTGTGTCAGTGCCTTCAAAGATAACTTCAGTGATGCTTGCTACCATTAAACATAAAAACAGCTGCAAGCCAACACTTTTTTAAAAAGCAAGTGTCACTCCGTATTTACTTAATACATTCTGTAGAGTGAAGTTTATTAATACGGTCAGTGGTGAGAACTGGCTAAAGAGGGCAGAGAGGAAGAAGCACAAGTTAACTTGAATTCTCTTCCTAGCTCTCCAGACTGGAATACATAACAACAGGCTATCCCAGTGCCGGCTGCCAGCAGAAAAGAGAGGACATTTGGGGAAACAGCATAAGTACAGTAACCATCTATCTACATGACTTCAGAGCTCATCCACTGCAATATTGGCTGGTGGGCTTTTGGTAGCAATTTCTTAGGAGATTCAGGCTCCACCAGCCTTAAAAAGGGATCTCAAGATATACAGAGCTTTATAAGAGTGTGCCTGCTAGCAGATTTTCCCAGTACTGCCTGCAGTACAAAGCAGCATTTTCCATGTACAGCTCCTGGGGAGTATTTGGCTTTGCAGATAAAAAGTTCTACATCTTGAGCACCCCCTGTATAGAAACACTAAGGTCAGCCAGCACTGGTGTCATACTGTGCTGGCTTCTGTAAGGCTTGGTGAAATGCCAGCTTCTTATTAAACAACAGTCTAATGAGTTCCCATACTGGAAAACGCACACAGTTTAACTGAGGATGCTGGAGGAAGAAACCTATAGAGTTCGTAGGTCTTCAACACTCTCCCACTTACTTAACAGAGACAGAAATTAATTTCCCCCCACCCTTTTTTTTTTGGATGAGGACATGAGACTGACAATAGCAGAAGGAATCATGACTACAATTTCCTATCTTGGAAGTCCAAACCCATGTGAATGTGTAAAATACTGCCCTCACAATTTGTGTAGCAGGAAAGCCAGGGTTTGTGAAACAGCTGCTTGAGAAAGATCTTCGAGTTTTTATAATTCAAAACTGCTGAGGCTCAAGCTGTGAGTATTTTACCAGACAGTTCTGCTGCTGCTGCTACCCTTTTACCATGAGTCATTTGCTAGGCGACCTTTAAAGTCAGCCAAGAACTGAACATCACCTGTTAACTATGTGTTTCCTATTCACTTTGTTTGACTCAACACTGTGGATGACAAAGTCTGGAGCCTCACTGAATTAGGAGGCGAGACACAAGTGAAAACTAGAGCCTAGATGCAATTTTGCTGTTGTGTAACTACCTCCAAAAACTGCCTGTCTCTATCATGCAAAACTTCCAAGCTTTGTTATGTCTCTCTGAAAACAGGCTTGATGTCAAACCAAAGTCCACATTTTCTGGTAATTTCTCATTTTTCTGTATTTCTACTTCATCAAGTGATGTATTTGTGCCTATCTGTAGAGAAAGAAAAAAAAAGAGTTCACATGCAATTTGTCATTGTGGGGGATTTACACTAGGTCAAATCTATGATTAATCTGTTTCTTTCAATTTGCCATTTAGTGATGGCAGCAAACAGATTTAATGAGTCACATGAATGAACAGAAATGGATGGCTTGTAATATTCGAATATCTACTCAGGAAAAACATAGCAGGAAAAACCCCAAATATTTTGGTTTCTAAAGCCAGTGAACATGTCTGCAGCAGAAGAAAGAAACTATTAAACAAAAAAAAAGTAATTCTCTGTTTTGTATCTACAGCACTTGAGAGTCCTGTTTCTAGGAAAATCAAACACTTGCTCTTGTTCTCCTGGAAGAATCACTGTTCCTAGGAAGCTTTCTAAGAAATTGATTTCTTTAGAGAATCCTCATTAGCTAACACCTCATAAATGACACTACAGTGGCACAGAGAGACGAATATGGCTGTTATGGGTGGCAAGAAGCTGTGCTCCTGTGTCGTATCACTGCTACTCTGTGCTGCACAGGGCACATTCACATGAAGGGAAGAAAAGAGAGAACAAGCCCAGCAGCTCTTCTTGTCACCACCATGTCCCACATCCCTGAAAGTATTTTCATGGCAGCAATAGGTAACGTGGTCTCTGTCACATTCTTTCTGCTTTACTGTTTCTACTCAGCATATCTCTTTTAATGGCTGAGTTTCTTTTTTTTTTGATAGAAGTCATCCCTTTCCCAGCACTTGGACATAGCCCAGGACAGCAAAGTAGTAGCTCCATGGGGAGCAGAACCTGCTCTATCCCTGGCTGCTGTGCCCAGGGCTCAATTTGAAGTCATGAGCAAATTCTTCTAAGGCACTTATTCTGGACTGATAGAAAACCAGTGAGGAAAACAGAAGAATCAAAACCTTTAGTTTAAAAATCCTACTGAAGACTCTGTAATAGGTCAAGATCAGACAAAATTTCTGACTATCACACTAAACTCAGGTTCTCACCACTATCAACACTACTACACTTGAAGCTGAATAAAGGGGCATTTTAGGCATCTTTACCAACAGATCATTATAAATCAAAATTATAAACTTGCCCATCACTCCCCAAGCTCTCAGTGTGATCCTGTGAGAACAGAGCCTGTCTTTAAGTAGAGAGAATATCAGAGCTAAAAGCAACTTCAACTTACCTGCAAGGCAAAATTCTTACAACATCATTGGGCTTGTAGCCTTCAATACAAACAGCACAGTTATCAAAGTCTGGCTCAGTTTCCTACAAAAAAGAGAACATTGATAATTTTCTTTTTTTTTTTTGTTTTATCAGCTAATTTCTTCATACAAGAGCCTATGTGACAAAGTAAAACTGTCACTGATGCATGCTGCAAATCCACTAATGCATTTCAAGACAAGAAAGTCAGATTTTCCAATACGTTTCCAGTTGGAAACGTGCCCTGGGAAGCATGCAGATTTAGTTAGCATGTTTTAACTCTCAGATTTCCTGCATCTTCACAGAATCCCCTTCTCTCTCTACTCCATTCCATCAGTAAACAGCTTACCAGTATTCCATCTCTGCCCCTCCCCTTGCCCTGCCTGAAGGACACTAAATAAGCAATTGCCACTTCTGTTCTTTCTCATTGTCCCAGTGGTCTGAAGGAACCCTCAGCACAGAGTTTCATTTGGTAATGAGCAATTTGAAAAATTACCTTATCACCTTTCCTGATTGTTCTGACTTGCAGCTTGCTGATTGCTTTCTTTGCAGCATCTCCAAGCCGGCGCTGTAATACAAAATTTGCTCTTAAGCAAAGAGTACCAGTGCAAAAATAATCACCTTTTCTCCCTAGGCTGGTTAATAATCTGAAGTGACTGTACATGAAACAGGACAGTGTTGTATAAATATAAACAGATGAGGTCAGTCATAGTGTCATTCACAGTAAGGGCACAGTAGGTATTCCAGGCTTGCTGGTAACCAGTGGCCGATGAGGCAAAGCTGGTCTTAATGGAGTTCCAGTGGAGACTGCACGTGAGCCCATCACGACGCTACTCACTCTTCTGGTGAACAGCAATGTATGTAACAAGTCTGCTATCTGTGCACCCTACTTCTTCCCTCTCTTTTTCTAACGGCACTTGTGAAAAATACATTATTAAATGAAGGCCTGGGCTAGTAAATAGAGTGAACACTGGACTTAAGACTCAGAATGTCTTTATTTGTAAGTTGTTCCAGAACTAGTTCATTATCTTCAGTAAGATGTAAGTGCTGAAAGTGAACTGTTAATTTGTTAACCACAAACACCCTGAACAATCTTCTCTGCTGTTCTCTCCTCCTGCAATACAGTTGCCTACTTTATAGGAGCTTTATAGCTTCCATGCTATAAAAATGAGGTGAAAGCATTTGCAGTTTCTTACACACAAAGCACTACACAGTCCTGCAGTAACATCGTATCCATACGTAACTTGTTCTTTGCCTTTCTCTTAATGAATTGCTTACCATGTGGTGTTTCTGACTGTTCTCCCGTATTTCCAAAACACTGTTACTGTGCTGGCAGGGTCACAGCCACTCAGGATTAAAGTATGTAAGAACAGCCTGATGCAAAACACCCTGCTCTCAAACGCTGAAGATGGACATGCGTGCCTCTTCCAAGAGTCTGCAAACACTGTGGGGCAGTTCATTCAACCACTGCTAAGCAGATCTACCTCTGCACCCCGTGCAGTTGAGCTTGTGCCTGCATCAGTGCTCCAAGGACTTGGCTGCTCACTTGTGCTAACCAAAAGCGAGGTAATCTGGAGACAGACTCACAGGCTGGAAAGGTCTTTAAGAGGTCATGTACTCCCACTCCCTGCTCAAGGCTGGGTCGACTTCAAAGTCAGAGCTGTGTCCAGTCAGCTTTTGACTATGCCCAGGAAGGGAGATTTCACAACCTCTGTGGATAATTTGTTCCAGTGTTTAACCACTCTCACAGTTTTTTGAGGTTTTTTAACATACAAAATGGAATTTCCCTTGTTGTAATTTGTGACCATTACCCTTGTCCATTCTATGTGCACCACCAAGAAAAGTCTGAATGCCTCCTCTCCAACCACCCATTATGCAGCTGAAGCCTGCAAGCAGAACCCTCTCTCCTCTCCTCTGCTCCTCTCCTGGCTTAGTAAAGCTGAGCTACCTCTGCCTCTCCTCCGATGTTGTGTGCTCCTGTCCCCAGACCATACTGGTGACCATCCTCTGGGCTCTCTCCAGTTTTTTAATGCCTTTCTTGTACAGTTTCATTTACCAGTACTTACTCCAATGTCTTCTTGACAGTTTTACAACTGTTCATGATACAGTACATCCCAATATGCCCCCAAGAAAAGACCTGAATTCTTCTCTTTACCTCCCCTATCCATCCATGTTTCCAGCCATGTGCTGTTAGATAGGAGGGAGACTTAGGAGGTTTGGTAACTCAGGAGACATTCAACTTTTCGGGCTGGGAACACTGCCTGTGCTGGAGTTCAGAGGGGCCTGTCAGCAGCATCGGTTTCCAGCTGGAGAGGAAGCCTAAGAGCATGAAGCCAAAAATGAAAGGAAGCTGGACATGGTTTGTAAATTGAGAGCTAATCACCATACAGATGCAATTAATAAATTACCACTTTGTTCTTCAGATTCAATTAAAATCACTGAATTAAATTTAGCGAGTAAGCTTATTGGATCAGAAAGACATGGAAGACTGACAAAATGCATGCAATACTGAAAGCAGAGAACAATTTTAGATCTGGCTAAAGAGGTGAAAACGATCTTGGCTGTCATACGAGATTTACATATAAGCTTTCCATCATAACTAATTATTACATGTGAGGGTGTATCTTGTAGTTATACAACATCTTTTTATGTGATACATTTTTCTCATAGTCTCCCTTAAACAGAGGGATCAGACGAGACTTGGAAACATTTCTTGCCAGCTATTTGTTTCTTTAATATAAATCAAAGAGAGACTGATAACATGCAGCAAGACAAGAACCATTATGTCCTGGTTCAGGAATTGCTTGTGATTCCTTTTTATCATTATTATTACTTAAACTAATGAAATGTCTCAGTTCCTTTTTTACACATTCTTCAAGGGGAAAGGACAAGATTAAAGACTCATGTACATCTTTGATCTGCTTGTATTCATGTTTGCTTTTTCTTATCTATAATAAATAGACAAGTTCATGACTTAGATGTAAATGAGAATAATTTAATCTTTTAAAGAACAGGAATATCTTGGAGTAAGTCATACTTTCAAAGGATTCTTCCATTTGAACGAAAGGCATGCTATCACTAACCAATGATTTCACCTGAAAGGTAAGAGGCATTACAATAATTCAAGGGTTTAAAGTAAGGCTTAGAGATTTACAATCATAAATCTCAATCTCATTAGCAAGGCTGCAATATTCAGTACTGGACTGGAAGGAGTTAAGCAGTGGTCTTTTGGAGATGGTTGAAAAGGAAGGACAGTAGCATGGAAAGCATCACTGGTCTGTTCCTGAAGAAGTAAATGGCCATAGATGCTATGTAAGAGAAATAATGGTAACTGCTTCTCTCTTAATGGCCTTACTAAACTATCATCTTTGCAGGGAGAAGATAGTCTTGTGCCTTGCACAGAACAAAATGTACCATCAGGATGAGGTATCAGACTCATGTCCTGTACCACAGATAAAGTTTACAGGCTCCACCACAGGAAGCATCTTCCCCAGGCTGCTTCAAAGATATGTCTCTATTCAGTGACACAAACCTGTCATTCAAAGCCACAGCCAGCAGTCTTCCTTCTCAGATAATTACTTGACCCTCCACATGCTGCCAGTCACATACTAAAGTAGGCCCTTCACTGGAGATTAAGCCAGGACACACAGAACTCTCCTCAGCCCTGGTGCAATCACTGCCTGCTTCGGCTTTCACTATCCTGCAAAACTCACAAGAGTCCACCTGGTTTCAAAATGACTTTACAGAAAACTTCTTAACAAGAAACCAGTGGGAAGAAATGACATAGAATAAACATGGCCAACAGGTCTGGCACTTAAAGCATCATCCCCTCACCATATTCCCATCTCACATCTCACAGACGACAAAAAGAGAACTCTACTACTCTGCTATCACTGGTGAAATATGAAATCTGACACACTGACAGGGTTGTTTTGTTGTTTCTTGGGTATTTTTTCTTAAAGCCTCTGTCCTGGCTGTTACAGGGCTGAGACAGCAAGCGACATTTTTCTGAATTATCTCCAGGACTTAGCTTGTCATGTAATTCCAAACTGCTTCCAATTAGCACTGCAACCTGATGTCTCTTGATGCAAACAATTCTCACAGTCTTTCCACGCAGAAACTCTCTCATTTTCAGGAAGGCTCCAAGAATAAGCAACTAAGGAAGCATATTGCCTATGCTTTCCTTACACAAATTTATTCTCCTCAGATCAAAATGGCATATTATCAGGACAACCACCTACTTCCTGAACATTTTCTTAGGTAGGAAAAAAGTGAATGACTGGGATTTTCATCCATGTGAATATTGCTACCTATCTTTTACTTCCACATGTACCGTAGATTTGTCTGTCATAGAGATACTTTAAAAAAATTGAAATCTAACCACATTTGTAGCTGACAACTTGGCTGCAGGTGCACAAGCCCATAATGGAAGGCAGTTTTGTTCTCCACTGCATTAATTCCCAGCCAAGATGGAATGAATGGGCCAGGGTGTTCAGTGAGAATCCTTTGATATCCTGAGCTCAAAATCAGGCAACTAACTGGAGTGAGCTGTGTCTTCCTACTGGCACGTGAACCTGGATTTTGCAGACATAGCGAGGAAGAGCAGTGGATGAAGATGTACATGCTGTACGTCCAGGTTTCATCTCACTGGGGAGTCACAGGAAATGATTACAGGAGATTCTTTGGTCTTTCTAGCTCTCACTTGCTGGACTCGTTGCTTTCTTGATGGATAATTAAATCCTTTTGAGTTTATGCCTTGATCAGCAACTTATGCTGTGTGAAAGAAAGGAAACGGATCTGGAAATGAGGATCACCATTTAAAAGAGGATAAGAAGGCAAAGGTGGTTATGAAGCTTGATAAAAAGACACATTATGTTTTCCATCAAAGGAAGACATAGTTGCAATGGGTCAGCTTGGAAGAGGCAAAATAGAAGATGACTTCAGGAGACTTGGAGTGACTCAAGAAAGATGTTCAGAAATCCTGCTTTCATGTAACAATGCAACAGGTCTCCTGCTTGGAGATAACTACTTTTACTGCTAATCATATTTTGCAGTTAGTCACACTGTCCCATTCCCTCAGCACATTGCCCAGACTACCAATCCAGAGGAGGCAACTCCATTTCCTCCTCTAGTAGTAGTTCCTACTACTCCTGGAAGTAACTCTAGTATCAGTCAAACACAGGAAGAGCATATAAGATGGAGGTTAACTAAGAGGTAGACGTAGGTTCTTATTTGACACAGAAAACATGGGCCCTCACAAGCCTTTGTTTAAAACAAGGTCTTTTATTTCACTTGGATGTCAAAGTGAATTTAAGCTTTTTATTTATTTATTTCTTAATTTTAACTGAAGTCTAATAAATGAGTCACAGTTTTTTGCACTTTCAGAACAGGGCAGTCAGTCTGCAGAGTTAGATTTTATCGCATTGCAGGGTAGGAACTGACAGCACAACTTCCTCTGAATAAGCTGGCTCCCCCTTCATCTGATGCTCTGTTTATCCAAATGTTTCAGCTTTTGGATAAAGTTTAGCCTGAGTACATCAAATACAAATAGAAGGAAGCAGCTTTCTTAAAGGTAGCTAGTAATGAAGGTGCTTACAACACATGCAAGGCTTTACCCACAGATAAGCACAACACCATACAGACACATGCAAGCTATAATGGCAAAAACTTTTGTGCACACTGACAAAAGAATCCTGCTCCAGCAAAGCAGCACAGTTTGTCTTGTATATATCTGAATATACAAGATAATAACATAAAATTCTGTGATCCCATCCTTGTGCTATAAGAAAGTGTGTTAAAGACAAAAAAACAAGCAGAACTTAAAGGGAAACAGAGAAACCCTCATGGAAAAGGCAAGAGGAAGATAAGCTCTTCTGAACTACCTACACTATTATATTCCATAGCTAACAATAAAAGAAAAAAACCCATAGCAACTCATTAATACAAATGGTCAAGCTTTGTCTCTGTATTGCTACTGTTTTTCATATGAAAAGAGCTAATAAAGAGATTAGAGATGTCAGGCAGAACTGGATGAAGAAAGTCTATGAAGAAATTCTAGCTTGCCCCATATCATTATTACAGCTTTGTCAAAAAATTAATAATAAATAATTGCTTAGGAGGCATGCTTTGTAATTCTTCTGAAGAACAGAACTAGTATAATAACAGTTATTAAAACCTATGCAGACAACAACTGCTTGTGCACATGTTACTCTCATTCAGACTTTGGAAAGAAAATACTGAAAAGGAAAGCTGCTTGAACATATAAACCTATCACTTCCAACCTATAGCATATTACCTGAATGAGCTTCTTATTTTGCTGGGTTTCATGTTTATGTATGTCTATTTACACTGCTAATCTGCCTGTATAATTACTTGATTGAAAGCACACTTACGGTAGTCACATACATAAATTAGGCACACGTGCTTTTGCAGCCAAAGCATCTAAAAATTATTACAGCCATCACAGTCACAGCCAATCTGCTGCCAGTGATGTTCAAATTCCAGCTGGGACAAGTACCAAAATTTCATGCTGTATATTTAAAGGAAAATATATTCTTTCTGTCTGTAAATAAAGAGCAGCTGCACTCTACCTCAGAGGATGCCTGAATTTCAGTAGGGGAGGGATCCCTGTATGTTAAGTATACATTGCAGAGTGTGTGGCAATACTTCACAAGATGATTATTAACAATCTCAGCTTTACTTTTTCTGCAGAGCAAGCAAGGCAACTGTCCCCCTACCCTGACAGTAATTTATTAAGGATCCAGAAACATCTCTGAATTACAGTGCATTTTTTTCCCTGCAGTAAAGTGGTTATCTCCTCAGATTTCATACACTGAGAGCATTTTCTACTGCACCATTAGAATGAAATGTAGAAGTCTCAGCTTCACAGTTCTGCTGATGCCAAGATAGTTGCATCCAGACAAGAAAAGATTAAATTTATTATTATCATTGCTATTATTATTCATCACTGAACTACCATAAAGATGCACAGTGCCTTATAAATCCAGAGGGCCTCAGGACCTAGGGCTTATTCCCACTGCTGCTGACTTCTCTCCAGCTCTGTAAGTTTTGTATCTTTTTCAAGGGGTTTGGACAAGATGCCAAAACAAAAAACAATGGTTTAATAATATTGGTGGCTATTACTACAGCACTTACATGTTCAGTGATCATTGTCAAAACAGGGACATGTTTGCCTTTCAAGCCCAAGACCTTTCTAAAGAAGTATTAAAATGAAAATACTCTCTATTCCTTTTTTCTTTCTTCTTCTATCGTGAACCCCTGTTTCACACACAGACGTTTACATACCTCGTTACAGTTTAGCCATCATTTTGACACCGGTGGTTGTTAGTTATATACATTCTATGTCACTTAGCTATAAAAGCAATCTTTTCACTAATAAACATCAACTTTCTGTTTATTTCTTGTGTGTTTTGCATGAGAGAAAATCCCCATAATATATACACACTATATTTATTAATTTCTTTTTTCCTGAACCCCATCTCTATTGACAGAAGTCTTGGCTATTTCCAAATACAGGCATTTTTATATCCCCATTGTTTTTACTTTCTTACTTTTTGTTTTGGTTTGTCTTTTTTACCACACGTTCGCAATTCCCTCAACTTTTAGCTGTAAGCTGAATCCCATGGTGACTTTTTGGAAGCACAGACAGCCATTCCAGCACTGCTCACCTGATTTCTGTCTCTGGCATTTGCGTAGCGGAATCGCTGGATGTAATAGAAGACCAGCCACGCCAGTGAGATGATCATTAGCACAATGAAGGAGATGGAGACGAACACCACAGAGGTCCGGCTGACGTACTTCTGCAAGTTGCGTGTCCCAATGGTTATGTACATCATCACAGTAATGTTCCTCTCCAGGAGGCTCACTATCTCTTTTCCTTTGGGTTCAGGAATCATTATTGCTACAACATCTTCTAGGCCTATCAGAGAGGAGAGAGAAAAAAGAAACCTTAAGTAAAATAAGTGATTGCCAAAAGGCATAACAGTAACAAGAAAGCTCCCCTTTTTCCTGTTCTCTCCTCCTGCTCACTGAGAGGTAAGTCAGATAGATCTGGTGAAGGTTTCAACTAGAATCAGTTACATAGGGTGCTTCTGTGAACTAATCTCAATGAGATATGCAAAACATGTTTCATGGGTTGACATAAACACAGATTTCCAGCACTGCTGAGGCTTATCTAGACAATATTGCTGTAAGCACTGCAGAAAGGCAGAGATGCTGCAGCCAGAACCCTTCCATCCAGCACTCCATGTACATTTATCATAGCCCATTTTGCTGGCACGAGTCTGCCAGAGAAGCACCTCTGAAGTCCACATTCAGATCAGAAAAAGTTTCAATCGCAGATCTCCACATGGTTTCACAACCTGAACATCCCAAAGCATTGCTGCCCTCGCCCAGGGCTGGCAATGTCCTACTGAAAGGATATGAGCAGCTTGAAACATTCCCAGCTCACCCGCTGCTCTGTGCTACCAGATGCTCCTCACAGCCCGAGCCCATGCAGATGCTTGGGAGCCCTTGCTGGAGCTGGGACTCCAAAACAGATGCAAGTTTAAGGTCAAGAGCACAGTTTTATTCCACAAAACATGCTACAGATCATCCCTGGCAGTTTGCAGCATGGCCCCACAAGGACTCAAGTCAGCACAGCTGAGACAGCAAAAGGGTGTCCATCGGTGGGATGGGGCTGGGACTTGCTACCGTCCTGTCAATCCTTCTGAAGCCACGACCCTATGAAATGGGCCCTCCACCAATCTATCAAGCCTTGACCCTGCACCAGCTTTCCTTCCTGTATAGCGCTGTTTCATTTTACTTGTATCACATGCTGCAGACACTAGTTTCCTTTCATAATTTTATAACCCCCCCATGTACACGACAAATATAGTCTGAAATTATCTGAATTATCTGAGATTGGGCAGCTTTTTAAATGCCCTTTCTGGCTTTAAAACATCAGTTTATGGTTTAATATTAGGGATATTCTTTCTACTTCTTGAGACAAGTATGTAAATAATTTTTACACCTAAGCTCTGTTTTGCAATAGTCAAAACCTGAATTGTAATAAGTGGCTAAGGACAAACAGGATGTATTTTCATGTAGAAACATAGAATCATAGAACACTTAAGGTTGGAAAGGACCTTAAGATCATCTAGTTCCAACCCCCCTGCCATGAGCAGGGACACCGCACACTAAACTATGTCACCCAAGACCCCATCCAACCTGGCCTTGAACACTGCCAGAGATGGAACATTCACAACTTCCTTGGGCAACCCATTCCAGTGCCTCACCACCCCCACTGTAAACAACTTCTTCCTTATATCTAATCTAAACTTCCCCTGTTTAAGTTTGAACCTGTTACCCCTTGTCCTACCACTACAGTCCCTAATGAAGAGTCCCTTTCTCCAGCATCCCTGTAGGCCCTCTTCAGATACTGGAAGACCAACCACCTCATCGTTTTTCATGTGCCTCAGCATGCTTTCCAGGAGAATCTGCTCCAAGATTTTGCCAGGCACAGAGGTGAGACTGACTGGTCTGTAGTTCCCTTGGTATTCCATTTTCCCCTTCTTGACAGTGAGGGTTATATTACCCTTTTTCCAGTCATTGGGAACTTCACCTGACTGCCATGATTTTTCAAATATGAGGGACAGTGGCTTAGCAGCTTCATTCACCAGCTCCTTCAGGACCCGTGGAAGGATCTCACTAGGTCCCATGGACTTGTGCACGTTCAAGTTCTTAAGATGGTCTCGAACCTGATCCTCTCCTACAGTGGGCCTAAGGTCTTTATTCTCACAGTCCCTGTGTGGGGTAAACCCCCGAACTAGACACACGAATGTTAATAAGCACAAGCAAATATCTAAACACCCCGTGTAACAAACGCTGAAGAAATTTCTTAAATTCTTCTTCTTTCCAAGAAGAAGACCTCACCATAAGCAGCATAGTAGCAAATGCCACCTGGTGTATTGATAAGGAATGGTGAGGAAATCCTGTATGTCCTCTACATTTCTGCAAAGTTCATGCAGAGGGAACCAAAACCCCTTTCTTTCACCTCTGGGATCACCACAGTCAAATGACTGTACATGGTATAAATGTCTTTATTGATGCAGTCTGAACATACAGATTAATCTACAGGGACACCCAGCAGCAGTGCCCAGTGTGTGGCCACCATGGGCAGGGACATGCCCCTGGGCCTCCTGGGCACAGGCACTGCCTCAGGACCAGCGCCCCAAAGGCCTTTCTTCAAGGCACGCTGGGCGCAGAGGCAGCAGCAGGGCTGCGCTGGGCAGGGCTGTGGGGGCCCCGTCACCCCCGTGTCATAGTGCCCCCACCTGTCAGCGCAGCATCACAGTGCCCTGGGGCAGGGTAAGGCAGCGTCCTCCCGTGTCCCATTGCCAGAGCGCCCGGCGCTGCCACCAGGACAGAGCTGGCAGCCGGAAGGCACCCGAGAGGGATTCCTTGGGGCACTGGTGGATTTACTTGGAGGGGCTGACATGAGAAGACTGCCCGAAGCTGCGGGAGGTTCTCTGCTGCAATTCCAGCTCCTGGAGGGGCCACACTCACAGCTCATTGGATGGATGGAAATCCTGTGGAGCTCATCATCCTCATCTTCTGGGGAGATAGTGGCAATAGCCATAAGAAACAGGATCCACAAATGGCTCAGTGCCCTCCCCCAGCGCTTTGGAGCTCCA